CATCTACATATCACGAGTGTACAATTGGGATTTTAAATTTGATACTAAGATAACTAGATAATTTTTTAACTATCTATCTATATATATATATATATATATATATATATTATATTTATTATATATGTACGTTTCTGAGTTTGCGCAAATTGGTTCTACAGGCGCAGGGAAGGGAATAAAGTGTTGCATGCCAGTAGACGGTATAGTACGCGAACGAACAAATACACAGAGAAATATATAGACTGAGTGCCTGTGATAAAATTATTCTATTTTGTCGATTCATACAAAGGTTTGTTGATATTTTCGTTAGCTATGTAATGGTATATAACAGTGTGTAGTTGTGTCAATTTCCTGCTACATTATAAAACTAAATGTGAAATATGCCACTGTGTACTAGCAATTGCTATTGCAATTTTGTAACTTTTGAAAATTTGCTTTTTTTTACAAATTCTTGATGTTTTTCAAGAATGTTTTGGCGACTTTCACAAGCTTTTTTCAATTTTTACATATTTCTTATATTTACTACTTTGCCAATTTATTTGAATTATTATGTCAATGTGTAAGAATTATTGCCAATTTATTCATTTTTTTAATTTGTTTACAAATTTTAATTAAGGCCATCAAAATATTTTGATTGCCGATTTTTCTACTTGATTATCTATGATTCTTTATCAATTTCTACGACTTCTTGCAGTTTCCATCATTTCTTACGAAAGTTTTCCGGTATATTCAAATGTTTCTATTTTCTACGAGTTTTTGCCAATTTACATGAATTTTACGAAACGCCGCCATTTTCTTCAAATTTTGTCAACTCTTAAATTTCTGCCAATTTTGATGAAATTTTAATGATTCATGCTAAGGATTGCTAATTCCTACAAACATTTGCCAATTCTTGCAAGGATTTGTAAATGTTTTCAGATTATTATCGTTTTCCGATTTTCGGCCATTTCTACAAATGTTTTGCCCATCTTTGACAATGTCTGTCTAAATTTTGTAAGTTTTTCAAATACTTATTTTCTAAAGTTTGCAGACATAAGACAAAAACAAAAAAGTATGATTAATGCATAAGGTATAAAAATCCATCTGAGTCAATCCTAGTGTCTAAAATAAAATACATTTCTGAACTTCAATATATTATTTACAATGTTTTTTTTTCCACCGTCTGCTGCATTATCGTACCCTATACAGGGTCTTTGGGGTGTGTGTGGAGCCCCCACAGGGGTTCCACCGCGTAGCCCGTAGCGAGATAGCTTCAGTGTCGATCAGGCTGTCCCCCGGAGCCCTACAGAGCTTGGGAACGCCGGAGAAATAAATAAATTAACGAAATAGTAATAGCATAAACAATTTATAAGTTAAAATAGTTTAAAGACATTGTTTGCGTGGTTTTGGTAATTGTGCTTTTTTATTTATAAAAGTGGTTGTGTAGTATGAATTTAAAAAATAATTTAATTAAATTTGGAACATCAATAAATAATTTGAATATATATATATATATATATATAAAATGTAAACATATTCAAATTTAAAATACCAACTAATTTAATAGATCAAACTAATTTATGTTAGTGGAAGTGTTTCAAAATTTATTTTAATATAGATGCTTTAAAATATAAAAAAGTGCAATCACCTAAACAAATCACTACAAACGATACTTATTTTCATATACAAAATTTTAGATAATATCGCTTTGATTTCTAACGATATGATACATTCATATTTAAACAGAACTTGAATGTAACAACTTAATATTTCAATTTATAAGTTTAACAATTAATTATTATACACAAATATATAGTCAATTTTATAAAATCTGTAAATAAAATCCTTGTTTAAATTCTGCATGTTGCTATATACGAATTTCAAGATAATTTTGAAACTTCTTTTTAAAATCATAATATTTTAAAGTAAACGTTTAAGAATTTAACCCAAAATATATAAAACTACAAAAGAAATTTTCATTATCTAATTTCAGTAATTACTTTTATACTTATGTTTACAACAATTAATTAGTGTTTAAAATGCTAAACAGGTATTTTAGTTTACATGTAAATAAATAATTAATCTGAAATCGTTCCAGGATGTTTCGTTTTGAACATTTCTATGCATCCAAATTAGTGTTTTTTATAAAAGTGTTTTTTCCGCAAAAAGAAACTTCCATATCAGTGAAGTGGATAAAAGCATGTTCCAATTTATTTATAAGGCTATGGTATGTACACTATTTTTGATAATAAATATGCAATATATTTTATATAGCACTACAATATGCCCAAAATACTATATATAGCGCCAAAGATAATATATAAGTTATAGTTCAATCAATATTTTTCCAGGTTTTCTATTTATAAGTATACCTAGTTGATTTAGATATTTATGATATTCGAATCAATTTTGTACATTAATTAATTTTATAGAAATATACCAAATTTTTCATTTGTCTGAGTCCTAAATCCTAAATTAAATATCAAAAGGTAGAAAAGTTTCCACTCTCTGGTAGCGACTTTGCGAACAAAAGTGACGATTTGTAAAGTTCTTGTTCACAAAGGGTTGTTCTTGTAATTTAAATCCTTTTCAAGGAGGTGACGGAGTCTTTGGACCCCCTTGGTGCCTTCAATAATTGAAGAGAAACTCGTGTAAATTTAATTGCAACAATAATTGTTATAATTGTTAATGACAGTCATTTTTAAATGACGAATTTAACTATTTTACTATGATTTTGTTTTAAATGTTAAAATCGATAAAGTTTTTAATAATGAACCGCAAACATCAAGAAAATCGTCCTTTTACCCTGGAAATCACGCTTTTTCAGAAATTTTGAAGTTTCACTATTTTTCTAAATATAATTTTATTATTATCTTTTGAAGCAACATTTTCTGCTATGTACAGATCTGTAGATAATTATATTAGCTTCCTAATAATATAATACGTGAAACAATAAAAACTTTATCCAACCTATCTTTTTAGCTCATAATAGTGTCAGATTTTTTTTAATTATAATTTTTTGCTAGTTGTTATTTATCATTATATATATAAATTCAAACATACTCACGAGGAAATAAATGTGTACAATTCACCAAAGTTTCAAATTGCCCTGCAGCAGGAAAAATGCATCTTCCAAGACGATATTTACATAAAGTGGAAATAAAAATATGCATTGGACGGAATTTCATAAAGATAAAAGGTTGCATTTTACTTTTCTTATAAATATTGCGAAATGAAATAGATTTTTATTAGTGGTTATTCAATTGTATGTATTTGTCCGAGTTTGTTATTTTTAGTATAAAAATAGTTACTACGGTGCCAGTTACTACTTACTAATAAATTATAAATATAACTTTAAATTTTAAAATATATATAATTGTGAATCTGTATGTATAGTTATATAGCAAAATTATCTGCAGATATAAACCAAAAAAAGTATTTACTAAGTAATATCATTTAGAAAAAATTGATATTAATATTGATGAAACTTTAAAATTGCGAATAAGGATTTCTATTGACATTTCTTATTTGCAGTACATTGAATTTACATATAATATGGTATATTATCAAAAAGATAATTAACTTATCTATAAATCTAGTGATGGATTCTCTTAAATTGAGTGAAAAGTGAAAAATTATATTTCACAAAATCGTTAAGGGTAAACACGATAAAGTAAATCTATGTAATTGATTGGTAATTTATCTTACGTCTATTTGGAACCTTAGTAGGACAATTTTATATTATTAATTATTATAAATTATTAAATTAAAAGTTTGTTTAAATCATAGACATGTAGGTGAAGGTCTATGGTTTAAATACATACATATCATATTATATATATATATATATATATATATATATATATATATATTTCTTTGACTTTGTAACATCAGACAGTCAGATAGAGAAAAGAAATATTGACACAACATCAATAAAAACAAAATACGAACGATAAAGTCAGTTTATTTATTTACAAAGATATTTATTACACGAACACACACACACACACACCTGTATATATATTTATATATATATATATATATATATATACATCTTCGAAAAAACGTTTATTCCGTCCGTTTGATGAAAATGAGAATTTATTCCGCTCATGAATTTTCCTCCAAGGAAACTCTCTTGAGTTTAATTAATATGATTCTATCGCATTTTAGGAAATAACTTTCTTTATTTACTCTATCTAGTTGGTGAGAAGAATGCCTACAAACTGAACTTCTGAATGAGTTGAAAGTTCCTATTTCGCCGCTTTAAAGGATTTACCTTAGTAACGATTTTATCATATCTTACTTAGTTAGAGAAATCACATACCTGAATCACAAGATTGTACTACAAACAGCACATTTTCTAAGTGCTTCTTGAAAGTCACTGCGTGCTCTTCAAGTTAAGAGTTGCTACAAACCAATATTGTCATTTATTTAAAATATTTATAATTTGAATTTTTATTAAGTGACCTCTACTGATTTTAGTATTTGTATAGATATAAAGTGTATAGACATATAGATATAAAGTGCTTAAATTAAAAAGATAAACGACATATGATACCATTTTTAAATAAATGCATGTGCATAAAATACTTCTGCTAGATTAAATTATTTCATGCTCAAAAATGATCAAGATTTATTATTTTAGTATTTATCTAGATAATAGATACTAGAATTATGCGAAAGTAATAACACTCGAATTAGTAAAAACGGTATGTCATGCAGAATTCTTTGAGATTCACGTTCGGGTAAAGAAATTATAACACGTATTTTCATCAAGTGATACTTTTTGATTTTACTATTTATTGAAATACCCATCACGTCATGCACCGGTTAAGAGTTAATAATAAAATTAAAAATATTTTTATTTTATATATAAGTAAACTGGAAAACAAAATGTCAACCAATGTCAATAAAAACAATATTTATACAAAAATAAATATAAAAATCACATAAAAATCTATAAAATACTTTAAAACCATGCCAATCATCTTCTGAACGCACTAATACTATTGTCTATTACTAAAATGAGTGAAGAATTTTATGAAAGTGAAAATGTCGAAAGTGAAAATGATGAAAGTGTCTCAATTCGAACAAAATCCACACCCGTGTCTTCAATATACATAGCTCAAGTGCCTAAAGTGTCTTTAGCTCGTGATGGGTTTGGTATTTTAAGACATCCAACAACTGGACATCTTCAGGGCATCGTAAGACGCTACACTTGGTCAAATGCAAATGGTGTTCTTGTACAAGTTATTGACTACGGAGCTACAATAGTTAGTATTAAAACACCTGACAAATATGGTGTACTTGAAGATATTGTCTTAGGTTTTGATACATTAGAAGACTATATGTCTAATAAGAATCCTTACTTTGGAGCAGTCATTGGCCGTGTGGCAAATCGTATTGGTAAAAGCCTTTTGAATATAGACAATCAGGAATATAAATTGGATGCAAATGCTGGTAATGATCACTTGCATGGTGGATTCAAAGGATTTGACAAAGTTTTGTGGCGCAGTCAGATTGTTGGCAACAAAGTTGTTATGACCCATTTGTCTAAAAATAACTCAGGAGGTTATCCAGGTAACTTATTGGCTACGGTTACGTTTGAGTTGAAACCAAATGATGAGTTTAGTATAAATTTCCAAGCTACTTGTGATCAGCCAACACCTATAAACTTGACAAACCATTCATATTTTAATCTAGCTGGTCATGGTGCAGGTTTCAAGGAATTATATGCACATCTGGTGACTTTGAACAGTGATAAATACACTGGCGTCGATGTCAATAGTGTGCCTACTGGTAAATTTAAATTTGTTGAAGGTACTGCATATGATTTCAGAGTTCCACGTGGTCTTGGAGTTATGCTAAAGCATGTGCCTGGTGGTGGTTTTAATATTAATTATTGTGTGAACAAAGCCAGTATGCAAACAATGAGGTTTGTTGCACGAGCTTTGCATCCACAATCAGGTCGTATTTTAGAAGTTTACAGTGATCAACCCGGTGTACAATTTCACACAGCAAACGAGATGCCAAATCCTGGTCACCAAATAATACCTTTTGATGTCTACGAAGATCCTTTGGTGCTACAAGCTGTTGTATACCAGACAGAAAATCCACGCGATTGTGTTATGGACCAGGAACAGTTTTTCATGCTTGATGATGAATTTGAAGCTTTGGAGTTCCAAGATGATGCAAAGAAAAATGATGTCAAAGCTGTGGAGGATGATTTGATTTCAGGCGAAGCATCTGTAAAAGATCGCGATGAGTCTGTTGAGGATGAAGGATTTGTTGAAGACACAGTTGTAGATGAGGAAGAGGATCAAACAATAGAAGATGAAGAACTTGCTAAAGACAGTATAGTGTCATCTCCAGCTGAGGAAAAAATAACGCCGATTAAAGATAGTGATAAGCAAGAGCATATATGTTGTCAGCCTGAATGTTTTTGCACGTTTGACATGGAATGTGATAAATCAGAACCAGCAGCATCTGAAACGCCTGTGAAAGCAGATGTTGCTTCTAATGCAGAATCTGATAATGAAGAAACCAAATATGTTCTAGATACAAAATCAGCAACAACATCAGAAGAGAATGAGACTGTTGATGAAATTATCGGTTCACCAAAACCTAGTGCACAATCTATTAGTATTGCACAAAGTTCACCAGTTCAAGAATCAGTACATGAAGTAAGTAAAAAATCCACAGAAAGCAGTGACAGTACCACTGACATGAGACAAAGTATAACCGAAGTCGTACCTGAACCACCAAAAATATACAAAAACTGTGATGAACATGATGTCGATATTATCGAAATGGAGATGCCAACTTATGGACCGACAACTAAAAACGTACTTGGCATTTACAAAGATGAGATCCGTGGAAAAATGGGTGCCAGGTATAGAAGACATGGTGCTTTGAGTTTTCAAACGCAAAATTATCCTGATGCCATGAATCACACTAATTTTCCTGGGTGCATTTTAAATCCTGGAGAAATTTATAGACATAAAATAATATACAAGTTTAGGGTGCAATCAATTTTTGATAAAAAAATATATTGTAACGTCTTTCAGCAAACTTAATACATGTGTTTTAAATTTTATTTAACCTTTATGATTTTTTTCGTTCAGTCAATATGGATTTGTGTAATTATGTAACACATTTATCACGAGTGGTACCTATTAATGTCTAAGATGGAAGAAATACCATTCAATTTAAATTCACAATTTATTAAATTTTTTACTATTAATATTCTTGATTTAATTTGCAATTTTAAAATTCAAATATTTTACGATTATAATTTTATTCAGAACTTCATTAAAAGATATCAACGTGTTTGCAATTTTGAAGTTTAGTAATTTTTTCAATATAAGTTTTTTCTTATCGTTGTGTAACCTTGTGTATGCATATAAATAATTTTCATCAAAGTATTTCAAAATATAAAAATTTACAAAAAATTTAAAGTACTTTGATTGCGAGAAATGTCATTATACTCAAATTGACCCAAATATTTTAAGTTTATTCTTTGTCTTTAATATAATTTTGCTCTGGAAGATATTGATTAATGTTGTAGATATTTGTTTTAGCTTTTTAACTAACTGATTAATATAATATGTGGTTGCGATAAAATTTTATCAAAATATCTAAAATTATGGAAAGTATATCCTATAATAATTCTTATATATGGATTTATTGATATTTGTGTTGGCTTTCATATCGTTCACAATGTGTATTCATTTTAATAATTTGCAACAAGAATAGGCCTATTATATAAATAATAATTAGCGTATCCCTTCAAAGACTTATTAATTCCACCATAATCCAATTTTCAATCCACACACCCACGAAATTCTTGCCGGTGCCCAAAAATTTCCCTCGTTACACATAATTACACATGTGCCTTTAAATAGACTTAAGACTCCTCGACCCACCTAAAAAAGCCTTAATCCTTGAATCCTTTATACTCTCCGGTATTAATCTAAATCTTCTTATACACAACCGAATTCTCTCTCAATCTCTCCATTTCTGTCTCTCCGGTGTCCTTAATGAGTCTCTTTAATCTTCCCAAAGGGGTTTCTAGGGCTTAAGGGGGCGACCACCGGGAGCACGCGAAAGGATATTAACTAAGGAACTCTGGGGGCACTTTGTATGAATGAAGTTCAGTTTATTTTAAACTATGTCCGTTCATTAAAGTTACGATTCGTTGATCTGATTCGTAGTCTCAAAATTGTTAGACGTTTGTAAATCGAATTCGATCTTTAATACCTTGATAATGATGATTTTTTAATATAATTTTGCTGTGAACGTTATTTACTTATATAAATACAGATTTTTATTTCTAAGTTTAACGATTTTTTCAATTTTTTTTTTTTTGCTAAATCATCCATCAATGAAATTATAAATTACTCAATAATGAGTTTATAAATAACTTTGTAAGCAAAAGCATATAGAAAAACATAATATAATGCAAACATAAAAACATGCAATAAACGTTTTCAATGCAAAATGCTTTAGGCTCACTTTGAAAAGTTTAAGAATTTTTTTATTATCGTTTTGTTAAATACTTGCAGTTAATATCATTAACTTTTGACTTTTATATAATAATATAAATATGTTCATTTATAATTGCAACAAAATAAATATCAATGCTAAAAAAATACTATTGACCGTAAACGTATATAAATATTTATTAGTATAATATAAATTAATTATATATGCGTGCGCTGTACGTAGTACGTACATATGTTTACTAAACTAATTTATGTAAACTAATATTTAATATTCTATTTCACAATTCTATTAATATTCCATTTAATATTCTTCCCTCATCTTTGAAATTCATTTATGCCCACATCGGTTTTCGGTAAAAGCATCTCCATGGACTGAAAACTCCTGAAAGTTTCAAACTTTCCATCGAAAATAAAAATTAAATATTCATACAAATGGGGAAAATTTATACCCAAAGTATATAAGGGTTGAAGGGTGGTAAATTACTCTGTTTATTTTGTATTATCTTAACATAATATAAAGGGTTGTAGATAAGATGGAGTGATTAAGAGATTTTGTGAGATTTAATGAGCTCTACAGAACGTATCATTTGCACTACAGACTTAAAATGTTTATACGTGTGAAAACCGGTGAGTTTTCTATCAAAATTTAATGTTATGAGATACACAAGTAAATATGCGCTGTGGGACAATCAATTTTAAACTATTCTCTTAAATAAGATTATTTTTGTTAAAAAAAAACATTTAATTTTGGTATTTGTATATCCAAAGTGCAAGCTTGTATCATAAGCGATACTTCTGTAGAACTTTTTGAAATTTCTCAAATTCAACTATTTTTACGTTAAGATTGTATTACAATATACAACATGGTTTTTAGAGTATACCGAGTTGCAATACAATCTTTCGCTCTTAGTGAAGGCTATAAAGATGATTCAATTTTGAACACATTTCGTTAAAACATTATTCATATCAACAGAATAGTTTTGAGAAGGTTTACATTTAGTCAAAAACTGCACCTCAATTTACGATTATTTATATCCATGTTCGGGTAGATCATTCTAAAGATGTAATTAATAAATGATAACAATTGAATAACTTTTCCATTCTCTAGAGCCATTTTGAAGTATAACCAGTTGCTTTAGGCCTATATGATATCAGACAATAATGTAAACTATTTAAATCTGTGTAAATTTCCCAATTATATCTTTTACATCAGGCGAGTTGATCAGGAGTTACAACTGATTTAACAAAAACGTGTTGCATTTAAATTTTCGCACTATAAACAGTACAAAGGGTTTAGCCCAATGGGCAATTTTACCTCACTTATATTTCTCAGGGATTTTCACGTATTTTCTTAACACGACACAGCTGTGTATAAAGAGCACCCGTATAAAAATCTTTTTAAAAATCGAGCCACGTTCCTGTTGGAAATCACCGGTCTGGAATTGACTGCCGAACGAGTGAAGGATTGTGGGGGGCAATCGTTGCGCTAACGAGGTGCCCCCTTGACGATGTATATATATACATACATATTTCTATCTATGTGTATATATATTATATTTCCCGTTTTATAATGTTAATAAAGAAGCTCTTAACGACGTGACAGGCGGCGAGAGCTTTTGTGATATTGAGAACGAGCTTTGAGCTTTTTCGGATACTCTCGGTGACAAACTGGTGATTAAGAACCTGGTTATGGAAATTCTAATATATACACACACATATAGAAATATATAGATATATTTATATATATGTATATATATACATTGATAACAAGGCATTTTTGTGCATGCCCGTGTCTGAGTTCGCCATAAAATCTTATAATTAAATTGCTTGTTTATTGTATTTATTGTTTATTTCAGTACAATGGACATGTTTTGTAAATGCCGTTAAAAATGCCATTTGGCAATAGATATAGGTGTGCTGACAGTATAGTAAAGCACATTTAATATTTCACAAAAACATAATGAAATTGTGAAGTTGTGGTATAGTGTGTCCTTAGATCACTAAAATCCAAGCGAGGATTCGTGGATAATTTCTCGGAAATTGCACGGTTCTAAAGATTGATAAATTAGCCCTCAGTGTATCGTTCACAATTAGCAAAAGAGCAAAACTCAATCCGATTATGTTAAAATATTGATTATCCTGCCTCCGTGTGAATTATAAAGGAGCCCCCAGTGGCAGGAGGAACAAAGTAGCTATTAGTGTCAGAGTCAAGGGTAAGTATCGATTCTAGTTGACGATATGACGATATTTTGCCTATGAGCCTCATTGTAAGGCTTTGACCTTAGGACAGGGCTAATAAATCGATTTATACATTATATATATATATATATATATATATATATATATAATGTGGCACAGAGAGGATGAGAAGGCAGTTGGAAATCAATCATTTGACATGTTGACATGCAAAATTCTCCGCCGTGAATGTGGTCTCTACCTTTGTGGAAAAATATACCATTAAGTATATATGTTAAACAGATATATATGTATATATATATACGAGGTACTACTTGACCCAATTACTGATAGCAATTATAATACAAAAATGTTATTTTAGCTTTTGTATTTCCTACTACAACATCTTGCAATTTTAGCATGCTGCTCTTCAATATATATTTCATTACGACAAATACTAATATTGATATGTCTTAGTGGAATTAATCTACTATCGAATGGCATTTTTAATAAGTTTTACAGGATGCACTAGCTGTTTGCACTTCATCCTTAATAATAAAAATTTTAGGTTTCAGAATTATGAAAGATTTTATATTTTTGTGTTTTATATATGTCTGAATATGAACGATAATCTTTAGGAGAAGTATATATTTTTCTAAAAAATCTACTTTATAGCGACAATTAATAAATATAATAAGTTATATATTTTATGCATAAATGCACAGGTATTAATAATAGACAAGTATATAGAAGTATAATGTAATAACATAGCGTTATGGCAACATATAGTATTACTGGCATTTTTATTTGTACTACAAACTTATAATTTAAATTAATAAAATATGATGATATGTCATGGTAGACTTCATCAACTTTAATGGGGTCGTAAATTGTGTAATATGTGTAAAATGTGATATAGGACTCCGATAATGTTTAATTAGTATGATCAGAGTTTATAACCTCAAAACTCGTTTAAAACTACACGAAACTTTCAGAATTTCATTTATCATTCAGAGTTTAATATTGTGAAGCAACGTCTACCCCACAACTCTGGTGTTGTAATTGATGTAAAATTATTATTATTTTACATTAAAACAAGTATTAAACCATTGTTAATTTCATAAACTTGCAAAACTCGTATGAAATATAATTCGATTTTTATTTTACTGATAAAATAAATACTAAATTCCATTTGAAATTGTAGATCTAAAAATTGTATCTACATCTAAGTTTGAGTAACAATTTCTATATTACTGATATTTTAGTGATATCTCGTTTTATAAGATATAAATATAGCATAAAGTTTTAGTTTTTAAACTGGGATTTTAAAGTTTTTCAAATCTCTTGTTGGGTTGTCGAGATTTTTAAAACTTTAACACATTTAACTTTTTTAACCA